TCTAATAGCATTAAATTAAGGGTATGCTTCTTTTTATATTGGTTTGGTACATCCCAAAGAAGTATTCTAGGATTTTCAATTATTTTTAAAGCATTACACTCTAGGTTCTACAATTTGATTCTACCCAACATTTAATTTTGTCAAGCAAGTATGTGACTCAGTGCATTACAGCTATAACTCATAATGTATTTAGTTATTTTCTCAAAGCTACATATTTGCTTAACATAAATAAATGTCATTTCAAGTTTTAATTTGCTAAAGTTAAATTTGTCTAGACATCTAGAGAAAAATCACATGGGTCAAAACACATAGATAAATAAGTAAAGAAGATGTACAAATACAGAGTGTGTACAAGAGTCTGGATTTTATTCTTTCCAATGGCAGTTATTTATAGGTATTAATTTTGAGATGGAACACTAGGTTCTAGCAAAAGTTAGTGGCAGGTCTATAAATATGGAAATACAAACAAAAGGGACAATGAATTATGGTTGACTATCAATAAAAGGAAAACTTAGTGAGCTTTTGACATATTTTTCTGTTAATGTTCATGACTGAACAGGCTGCATAATAAAGTTCACCAGCAGAGACAATCGCAAAGCCTTCTGACGTCGCCCTGCAGAGTGTTCTCCATCTTCCCTTATTCTTTCCCCACTGACCCCAGCAGGCTGTGATTTTGCCAGTGATATTTCAAACCTTTTGTTTTTGACGGAATTCTCTTGTTTCCATCTCCCAGCCAGATAGGAGGTCATACTTTTCCCTGGAGGCATTTGGCTTTACTGTCATTGAGCACAATGAGAGTAGTTATCCTTCGAGCAATTTCTCAAAGGGTTTCTCTGAAGCATGAGATTTGAGGGAACAGTGGTGTTGTAATGTCATAACTTCCAGTTACAGCCAGCAGGAGTAAATGTGACCACGCATATAAAATACTTCTTCAAAGCCCTCATGCATGCTAGATGCACTTGATAGAGCAGAGAGGACAGAGTAAGAGACTTGTTTCAAGTGCACGTCTGTTGACAGAAGGGAAAATTTAGGAATATGTGCCATGGAATGGAGAATTGAGAGACAGGGCAAAGGCTGGCACATGGGAGAGGGAAGGAAACATGGGTGTCACTTAAGTGTGGGAAGCTACTCCTACTCATTTTATCTGGGGTATCTTTTGAAGAAGCTATTATGACACAAAGGGAAAGCTGGTAGCTGCCACAGGCAATAGTCAGTGAGATTTGCGTGTAACTGAAATATTCTAGCATTTCCAGATGTTTCAGTGACCAAAGAAACTCAAGGCCCATCTGTGCAGCAGAGATGTGCACCCTTACATCACCTGCTCAAACTAGCAGGTAAAACCATAGCACAGAAGTGCCCTTACCAGTATTTACTCAGGCATGCCGCGCTGTCCCAAACATCCACAGATCCTGAAATTCCATAGCTGTAATTCCCTTGTTCTGCTACAGCACATGCAAGACAAAATTTGGATGAACTGAATATTCTAGTTTTGCCTTTCTATAATACGACATTTGTACATATAAGAAGTTTCAATGTTCAAAAGGTTTACTGTTCCACACTGCTCCTAGGGTTTCTGCTTTGTACTTTAATACACATGTGGTCTCCTTCTGTATGTCCAGAAAAAAAGTTCTAAGGAATTTTTTTTTTCTTAATGATTTATCAAACAGGTGGAGTTTTTAATCCAAAAAGCAAAATCATTTGTTTTGAGCTGCCTTTGCAGTGCCTCATATCTTTTTCCATATGCTCAAGCCACTGCTTCCACTGAAATTCCTTAAATTCTTCTCTCGGTACATAGGCTGTGAGAGGTAATTTTTGTTTGGGTACTGAAACGTTTCTGTACCCCCAAAGAACATTTTGCAGGTAATCATTGGGTTTCAAAGATAGCTTGGATGTTGAGGTGATCAGGATTCACACCTTTCAGAGCTGGTGCTTCGTGATACCCACAGCTCATAAACAATATTTCACTGTTTACTCTCAGCCAATATTTTCAAAGTTATTTTTATCAGCAAATATGTTTCAGACGTAATTTTAACTACCCTACAATTCTTGGATGTATCCCCATATTGCTGATGAATTGCTTGGCTGCAGGAACACGATGCAAAATTTGAGACTGCTGTGTCTTTTTTATCATCACATTACAATCCTCAAGTCTTACTTGTTGATGTTGGGTGTTTGACCTTTCCTGTTGTCCTGTTCAGGCTTGCACCAAATGTGGGGTAGAACATCTATCTAGTAGTCTCTTGGACTAGAGACTAGCAAGTGGACAAGGATCTTACAGGTTGAAATTGAGAAAGAAATTCAGCAGCTTCACTACTGTGAGGCTGGTTAAGCATCCTCAGAAGGGAATGTAAATTCCTTCTGAAGACTTCAGTGCATTAATTTACAGTCTTTCCCTTGATGCAAGGTAAACAAGGGAGAAGGAAAAGGAGCTGAGAGGGCAGTGCAGAATGAAAACAATTGGCTGGAGAAAGGGATGGCAACAGCTTTTTCCACTGACTTTGTCCAGGGAACCACAGCTTTGGCCATGGAGCTTAGCAAGTACTAGCTCACTTTCTAAGCCTTCTAGATCCTGGATCCCAGACAAGAAATGAAAGAAGTGGTTGCTGGGATCAGGGCAGTTCTGTACATACGAAAAGTGAAGAACCTCTAGCACACAAGAAGATATGTCAGTGTCTAAGAGGATAATATGTAATGAACCTGGCACCTATAGAACAACAGCTTTGTACAACAAATGTGAATACTGGATTCATTTTGGCTCTGGGCCATAGTCCACAATATTTCAAAATTCTGTAGCAGGATGTGTTCTGTGATCAAACAGTTTTCCCATCGTCCTGATACACATCTTACCTGCATCTCAAAGGCAAACAAGGGAAAAAGCTGTTGCCCAATATTTTCACAATTTGTAATATGTTCAACATTCATTCATTTTACATATCTTGTTCTAATCCTAAAATATTCGGCTTTAAAATAGGGTACTTTGTAGTTTTTTTTTTTCAACTTTATAACATTTGCAGATATTGTGGGAACACTTCATCCAAAGTTCCAAAATTACACGTGATTAAATAAAGTCATTTGTGTTGGTTAAACCGTCAGTTACTGAAAACCTATTGACGAAGGACAAACAGCTTGAGTGTGTGAATTGTTTAAATTTATTGCATTGTCCTATATTAAATATAAGTTATTAAATTGGCTTACTAATCTACCTCAGTCCTATAGTATTTGGGGACTTTGCATAGTATTTGATGGAACAGCCCTAAGCAGTCCAGTAGCATTTTCAAATTAACCTATTTGAAGAGTAACTAATAAACAGGAACAGCAACAACAAGAATTTTTAAACAGTTATTAATGTGTTTATCTGAAATGTTTTCCTGTCCATAAATACAACTATTTTTGCATTGCTGCTGATGATGATTGACTGTGATAAGTTTAAAGTTTTCATAACCATGGCCCCACTTAATGGTATGCTAAATTTTGCAGTACTGCCTAAATTTGGTTAGTTTTGTACCATAAAAGTTACTTAAGGTCCCAAAGAAAACACACTGACATCTCTTTGCATAATCATTTGTTTTTGTGGATCCTGTAAATTTTTTTTCTTTGCTATTTCAGTGTAGTTTTAGAAAGCCATCTCACTCCAGCAAGTCAGCAGTCCAACAGAAATATATCAGATAAAACATGTAAGCAGAAGATGAGGCTAGCTGATACTGAGTTAACACTTACTTTTTTACATACAGGTCTTTTGCATGTAGTCTGCAAGTAGCTAGTCTGCAAACTGGAGCATGCATAGATTGTGTTTTCAAAGCATGTCTAGCAGATGAAAACTAAGGAGTAGAAAAGAGTGAGTGGAAAAGGAAGAAAGAATATGATGCACGGCCATTAGTAAAGCGTCTCTCATAGAGAACATGGAAGAGACAGATGTCATGTATTTGCTAAAGTGTATTTATACCTGTTCTCTATTCCCCATCCTCACATCCTCACACACAGCACTGCATTCCTTCACCAAGGCAAAAAGATAGCTTAGCTGTGTTTTTATCAGGGCTGGGAATTTTCTTCCAGTGTTCATTTTTCTGTGAGACAACATATTCTTCTCTCTTTCAACAAAACTTGGCTTGCTAACAGGGGAATGTGACAAAACTGGAGAAAAAAGAATCCAAGGCTTATAGACCACAGAGCCACTCTTCCCACCACTCTGCCAGTCTCCAAGCAGATGTTGTTCTGCAGGTAGTGCCAGGGGCAGACTGCAGCTCCAGTTAGAAAAAGCCATTCAGCTTACCTGCTGGAGACAGGAGTTTTGCTATGACTGTTTCTGAAGCCAGCTCATTTATTCTAACTAGAAAATCCAATCTCTCCCCCCGGGTTAAAGGACCCAGGATCATAGGCTACGCAGATGACTTACCGGATAATTGAGATCTGAGCATGGCTAGACAGGAATTGAAGCCACCTGGTTTGCACACAGACACAGCTTTTCTCTGCCAGGGAGGCAGGCTCAGTGCACACTTCTGAGCAAACATCGCTTTATATCTGCCAAACACCCAGCAGTGGCACACTTCCTTCTTTGTTCTCTGCAATGCAATGCCAATGGGTTGTTTTCTGCTTTTGCAAAGGCAAGGATAATTGTCTCTCGGTGAACCTATACAGCAGCAACAATATGTTGAGAATAGATATCAGTCAAGCTCAGAGCAAAGGGATGCATAATGATACTTCTTCCTCAGCAGATCTCAGCAGGCATTTGAGCAGTTCCCTCCCAGAACAATTGGGCATGGACACAACAAGCCATATATGTGGATAAACACTGACCTAATCTATTATGGGGCATAAAAATAGAAAAATTACAAGTAATTAGGCTTTAGATTAATATCACAAAAATCTTCAGCACTACAACTTCTGTCACCTCTCCTTCAACACCATCTACAAGTTCTTGTTTCACACTGAATCACCTGGAAGTGTTTATCCAAGCAATAATGCAAACCCTTCTTGACAGTTCCGAGGTTCTTCTTTTCCAGGCTCCAGAAAGTCCTGATCACAAATTCTCAGAGAAGATGGGATTGCTACATGACTGAGGACAGTTGTTTCGTAAGTTTAATAGAGTAGCATTAAACAGAACTGAAGAATATAGTAACACAAATCATAGAGCCTTATTGTCAGTACTGGAAAAATCAACTTTTATGTAACTAGCCACACCTTTGAAAAAAAACATTAACTTTTTCCACAAGTGAAATATTGGGTGAGTTGGTTGTTGGGAGTAGGCTGAGGTCTGATATGCCCGGTTAGTCTTTGGTGGGTAATTCATTTGGATCCTGAACACCTAAACCAGATGTTTGTATTTAATAGGTCAGTGAGTCTCATAAGCAAGTCATTATTTAATAGTAGAATTGGGTATTTCAACATCTCTCTCTCCTTTTCCACTACCAAGCAGACATAGTGTCACACATACATACTTTTATCACTTGTGTGCAGCATAATGTAGGCATTTAATAGCTTTTAGAGTTGCATGTAGGAGACTGATGTAATTTTTTAGCAGTTTATGAGAACTCCAACTGTAGGTTTATAGGATACAAAAGTTTAATTATTCCATATCTGGGACAGATTCGGAGGTGAAGCAAAAAGAAAATCATGTTTGGAATATAATACTTATATGACGCAAGTATCACAACAGTCATCTTATAAGTCCTCCTCCTGAATAGTTTGAGTCACTGTTGTATTCATTAAATTGCATTTACAGCTAGATACTCTGCTGAGATGTCAGTCTTCTTTAACTTCAGTCTGGAGTGAATTTATTGGGGTAAGTCTAAATTCCAGATTGAGTGTTAATTTTTTTCACTGAATTATTTTGAATTTATTCCAGTGTTATAAGGTAAAGTTTGGCCCATCGCACTGTTTCAAGGATGTCAGCGTTTTCAAACACTGGGTTGAAGTGAACTTGTGATCACTATAATTTGTGAAGAGCTCTGTTTACCAGCTGAAATCAGATTTACATACAAATAAGTAGAAAACATTCAACATGTGCAAATTTGAAGCTTATGAAATCTATCTTGCCTCTTTTTCTCTACATCTAGAAGCTGCCAATTCCTGTTAAATAAAGGTTTCCAAAGTAACAGGGCAGAATTTGGCCCCAAAACCACCACAAAGAAAAAATAATCCCTATTCTCAGTACCAGGTTTCTTTATTTCTAAGTATTATATGTCAAAATGAAATCTTAAAGTGTCTTTTTTCAGAAGCATATCTTTGCAAAATACAGATTTTTAAAGTAGGAAAGCCTCTTGACATTTGGAGACAGTTTTTAAAATCAAGGAATAGTATATTAATATGAGGAAGAAAAAAACCAAAAGTTTTTAGATATGTAATTTAATTAAAATTAGATATTTTAATCCAGTAATATCACACAAGTAGACAAAAATGGCGAGCAGTTTTCTCCCTATAAAAATCTGTTGCAATTAAAGTTGATGCAGACAGCTCTGGCCAGCACATTTCTATGTGCTCAGCAAAGGCAGCTGGAGCCTGGCAGACAATTCTCCAAGGATCCTGTGGGCCATAGGCATGCCTTGTCCCCACACAGCTCCAGTTTGCTGGCCAAGGCACAGAACTGACAATGCTCCTGGTTCGAGCTCATCTCTTGCACCACATTATGTCTTTCTCAAAATGCCAGCTTCTGAAGTCCTGCTGAGCTGAGAATCTCAGCTGCCAATATTTTTTAAAGTAGGTTTCCAGCACACAGTATTACAGGGAAAAGCCTGCAAACATGGTGTGAGGACATGCTGAATTCACTCTCTCTCTCTCTCTCTCTCAAAAAAAAAAAAAAAAAAGGTTTGAAAAAAATAATCCTAAAAAACAAAAAGTCTAATAAAAAGAACAACAGGAGTGTTATTTTATTTTTTTTTAACATAGTCTGATTTGTAGTGGTCTGCATCCTGATTTTTTAAATGCTTGTGGCTGAGAATACTGGAAATATGTGTGTGTGCTTCCCTGGGAGAAGTGCTGGAAGGGCTGTGGTAGACTTGTGTTGTTACACAAAAAGCAGAAGACAGAAGAACAGCCTCTATCCAACAGGCATGCCATTCACAATGGTGCCTTGGCAGAAAAGGAAGAAACAATCTGATCCAAAGGCAAAGATAGATGAGGAACAGAACGGCATGTGATGAGACAGATCGGAAGCAGGACCTGGGAGACTGGGCCAAAGTAGAAGGGAGAAGAGGGCTGGTAATTAGAAATGGATGTGCCTGTAGCCATGAAAGTGGTCCTTCCAGAAATCTGGAAAGAGACACATTCCACACTTGTGTAGTGCAATGAAACCCATCCCTGTGAAAACCAGCACTAAAACATGTGGCAGCTACATGGCTGGCTGTTCTATATCCTGAGATCTAAATATTCAATGTGTGATGATTTTTTCCTTCCGGTCTTTGAATTCAATATTGGTATACTATTGTAATGCTTCACAAATTAGTACTTTTTTCCCTAGAGAACCTCTCTCTCCACCATAGTCTTGGGTTTAGCAGTAGACATTAGTAGAAGGTTAATTAAAATTTTTGATCACCTTATCATGAAGAACTCTGGTGCAGATAGAGAGATAAGAGTTCATTACTGGAATAATGAACTTTTGCAATAGATCAGATGACCGGAGCTCAGTAGACACAAGGCTATCTCCTTTTCTTGGGGTTTATTTTTTCAGGTTATGTTGGCACCATGGCTTCTGGCTCTGAGCCTGGCTTAGCAGAGACACGTGCCTCCCACCCTGCTTTCAGAAGGATGTCATTGAGGCAACCACACAAGGTCTAAGTATCTGGCCATATGGAAGAAAAGTAATTAGGTGGATGGAAATACTCCAGCCAGAGCTGGACTAACAGTTGGATATTACCTTCATAAGTACGTGATGTTCCACACACTTAATAATTATTGCAATTATCATGTAACACTATAACACGTACAAGTAGGTTGAATTAATATTACTTAGTCATCCCTAACTGCAGCATTTTTTAACTTTTGAGTGCTTGACTTCAATCTTAACATTCCTATAATGTAGTTTTCTGTAGTAATAGACTCTATACATCTGACAATGTGTTTCATGCTTCATTTGCCAGAAATGTTACGAGCTTTGAGTCAACACATTAGGAGTATGTCTCTGTTTTCAGTGGCAAAAGGCCAGGTTTTAATTTCACTTATTTGCCATTGGCTAAACTGTGTCATTTCCTAAACATTTCTTAATTTTTAAAATATATGTCTAACTGATATTGCAGTATGGTAAAATACACTGTCCAAATGACTGTAAGGGAGATTGGAGATATGCAGGTAAAGCATTACATATTGAGACATTAGATGTTTCTACTCCATTTTCATTTTGATGGCATTAGGTAATTTTTTTTCTCTATATTCCTGAGTGTTGAGACTTAAATTGCATTTGTGGTTTCATCCTATTTTGCTTTGAGGAGAACTGTTTAATTGGCTCAACAGTTTTGCATTCATAATATACAAAATCAGAGAATAAAACAGCAGTGCAAACTGCAAGTCAGTTTGAAAGTCCTAAAAGACAGGTGGTATGGGTTAGTGAGATTTGGCTGTGATTACCAAAGCGTTTATATCAAGACAGTTAATGCTTAGAAGTAAGGTGATTTTACTTGTGCTCCAGAAGAGTGGATTAAAAGATTCTGACACTGTTCTTCAGCTCTGGCTGAGGAACACATTCCCATCTCTTTTTTTTTTTTTTTTTTTTGAGAAAATTTCCCCTAACATGTAACTATTTTGCTGTGAAGTCTCTGCAATATTGGGAAATTATTGACACCAATGTGCATTTGCTAACCATAGCACAGTCTTTAGCTGACAGTTTTGATTACAATAAATTTAACCTATCTAGAGTAATTAGTGACAGCTGTACTGAGAAGGATAAGAATTTAATGTCATCTGTAATTAGAGTGTAAATGTAAATTAGATTGTAAATGTAATCGGTAAACATAATTTGTTTAGAATAACAGGGAAAATACTATTGCTAAATATGCACTGGATTTCCACCCAGTCGTGGGACAGTTTCAGTATGCAAATAAACATTATACCTCTGAAATATGGACTTTCTTCCCTTCATAACTAAAGTGCTGGTTTATTGCTGACCTTGACCACTCAGGTATTGCCATTATCATCTGAGCAGATTTCATTTTCAGAAGGCACTCCCAATAAAAAGCAGGTATGTTTGACCTAATCCAAGGTGACTTAATGAATTTTAAGACTTCAAGATTAGTTTAATTCTTGATTAAATATTTAATTACTTTTAAAATCTTAAATCATTGCAATTAGGTTTTGGAAGATCCATTTCTACTTAAATATATATATATATATATATATAATGTTATTACCACTGTACCGTTAAGGAATATATAGCTATTGAAAATAATCTGGAGCAATTGTCTTCTGTTTCCATCATGGTAGGTAGATTTAAGCTTCTGAACATTAAGGCATCAATAAAAGTGTCCAAGATGGCAAATAATCATAATAAGCAATTTCAGCAATTCTTCATGGCCTTCCGCGTTTATTGCCTTTCATCTGAAATACATTAATAAAAGAATCCATAAATCAAGTCCGAAGATGTAATTAACACAGTCTTTTATTGAAAAGCCCATTCTGTATTTCCACTGAAGTTTCCATTTCATCTGTTCAAATATCCATTGCATTAATTCAGACATAGATCTAATGTTTCCATACTATGGGAGAGAGACAATTTACTTTAAATATCCATTACAAGTATTTTTAGATTCTATTCAAAGCCTCGGGGAATAGTATATGGTATCCACTTGAACACTAAATTAACTCATTAAGATAAGCACAATTTTGTTAGTGTTAAATCAATTTCTAGTAAAAGGCTGCTTTTTTTTTTTTTTTTTTTGTGCTGATAACTTATGGAAAAATTTGACTGTTATAGCTCCCAGCAAATCCTCACTAGTGTGTCTGTAATCTTACTATGCTGAAAGTAATATAGGTAGTAAAAAAAGATGCTTAGGAATCATTTTTAGGGAATGTAGTATACCTTAGGGCATTATGGAACCTTCTTCCTCAACAATATTGTTTTTCACTCTCGGGAACTTCCAAAACAGTACAGGCAGTGGGGTCTCAGTTGCCTTTTGCTAGTGCTCTCTTGTTATTCTATTTCATGAATTTTCCACTCAGAAGAAAAGGACTAATAGAGAGTCGAGGCTGAGAAAAGACTTTATAAAAAGGTGCCTTCTTAAAGGCACGAATTCTTAAAAATTCATTCTATTAGTTTGGATAATCCCAACTTTGTAGCAGTTCACACTTTGAATATAGAGTGAATACTTTCTGAAATGTGTTGTAGGTACCACATCAATCTTTTATTTAAATTTTACAGACTATATTCTTAATGGCTATAAATAAGTGCTACTCCATTTGCATTAGCCTGCAGTTCCTCTGCAGTATGAAGCATTTTAGGCATGAACTACTGTGGTCCAAGCTTCATCCCTCCTCCTGATACTGACCCACAATCACTTTTGACATAGCAGTGAGACTGAGTGATGGCACAGATAACTGATTTGCCAAAAGTTACTCCATCAGAAACATTTGTTACTGAAACTTATCAGGTAACAAACCTAAATGATGCTGATTTTCTGTGAAATGAACTTCTCCACCATCAAGATGGGTTAATTTTCCAGGCAGGAGATGTTCATATATCATGTAGTTTGTCTATTAAAAATACTGAGCTTGAGACACTGACTGAGCAGGGCAGATAGAAGCAACACGTCTTTCCATTAAATTAGATTTTATAATAGAAAATCATAATTCTAGTTTTATGATTCTCTGATAGGAATTTAAAGAAATGATGGCAACAAAAACAAAATACCACCACACACACAAAATAAAAACATATCACAGACTTCTTCACTGCACAGATGTGCAACAGACTTGTGGGCTAGTTGCTGAGGCTGCAGTTACAGTCTGCTTTGTAGTAGGATCATGAGGAACATGATATGTGGCTGTATCTACGCTGGCAAGTCATGCAACCCAATATGAGCAGATCTGGAGAGAAAAAAGATTGGTGCTGAGGATCTGACTTCCAAATTATCTGCATGGCAGGGGGATGGGGGCTGGTTCAGACAAGCTGCATTCTGGCCATGTGGAACAAATGCCAGCAAGCAGTGGGGGTGCATTAGTTCAGCTCCTGGAGCACATATTCTGGCTTGGCTTAGTCCAAAAGGCAGTCAGTCTATGTGCCTGGGGAGTGCTCTGCAACGCAAAGTCACAGTGAGTGGGGATGGCTCTCCTCAGGAGTGCTCTCCTGGTCCAAATTAAAATGTTAATAAAGATAAACATGCATGCAAATGCCCACTCTGATGGAACAGATGATTTTTCCCAGAAAGATAGAGTCCGTCAAGGAAACTGCTGGAAGTTGTGCATGTGGAATAAGTAATAGTCTATCTTAATTACTCCTCTACTTTTAGATACATATATCCATGTAGGCAAAGTTCAATTTTGATATCTTTAATTGCCATTGTTAATGGTATTTTTTCTTCAAGGCCAAATGTTATATGAAGCCTTATATATCCTCCAGTTTATTTCAGGCATTTTGCCTGAGTAAAGACTTTGGGATCAGGCTTATAGATTTTAAATTCTTAAGATCCTTTGGGAGACATAAATCACGACTGCATACAACTTGGCTGATTTAAGTGAAAGAAAATACATGTAAGAATGTGTACTTGTTAGAAAAATATGTTCCAAGATATATTGAAAAATCAAGTCCTGTTGCACTGATGTCATCTATAAAGGTAGGGCACTGCCTGTGAGGTACTCCAATGTTTTGAGGGTTCCTATAAAACTTGGCCAAAGAGCAAAGGCATTTCAATTTAACAAGCTAATAAATAGTTTTGAATAACCCACCTTGTGTCTCATAACATCTGGAATTAAAACACAAAGTATAGCCAAGAAGGATAGAAAATAAAGAAATGCAAGGCTGCCCTCTGCCTCTTACACTGGAAGGAATGTAAGTGATAGTGATGGAAAAGGTCACTTTTTGACAGATGTGCTCCAGAAACTTTTGTTTTCTACCATCTTCCTTAGTAATTAGGGAAGTATGTTGTAGTAATAGAAAAGTAAAAATACTCACTCACACGAATTGAAGATTTTTAGACTAAAAAGTGCTGTGCAGAACATTTTTCAGAGAATTACAAGATCTCCACAGACATCCAATGACATTCATATCTTCCAAGAAAAAAAAATCATACTCTCTCTTGAGTTCCAGCCTAGAATAGATAAACTTAATTTGCATTTAATGTTTTGGGTGTTGCTGGCCCTTTTCTAGGAGTTTTTTAATGTTCCTTTGAGACTGCAAGAAAGTCACCTTGTTGTGGGTATTAGAGTCCCCAACTGCTACATATCCAGTCAATCCCACTGTGATCCAACCAGATGTTTCTAAAGTATGCAAGGAAGTGAAACAGGAGGTGAACACTGAACAGCGACAGACACATAGGACAAAGATGTTTTAGTGGATGGACTCTGCATTTCACTACTGGCAAACATTATTAAAATCAATGGAGTGAAGCAGTATGTAGTTGAAAAGACAGTGTTTAAGCTGACAAATTTTGACTTTGAACAGCTTTTATTTGTGGCTGATGTCTAGGGCAGGAGGAATAAGAGACGTAAGGATATGGATAACACAGTATGGATAAGAATAACACAATTCGATTTTAGCCCTAATTATACTGCAATTGCTTTGATCTTTAACAACTTGTTTTAGCTGCTTTTGATGGAAACCCTTAGGCTTTTGCATGTGGAATACCAGAAATAAATTAAAAAATGTACCTTTAAAACGTTGATTTTATACATGATGTATCTTGCCATGGATAACATCTGCTTTTTTGCTTCAAAAGGCACAAGACTGAATCCAGCATGGAATTTGATCCAGTTCTTACTGAGTTCTATGCTACCACTCTGGGGCCATTATTCAGGTTGAACCTACAAATCTTCAGGTGTCTGCCATCTTCAGTAATATCTGAGTGCCCTAATTTAAGGCAGGGAATTAAACATGTAGCAAATGAGAATCACATGGGTAACGTTTGGAAAATAATTGTAGTAAGTATGCTGATGGAAATCATCCAAGAAAAGCTTCGGCAAAATGAGCCCCAAAGTACATTTCATCTATGTTTACATTTTTAACACTAAAATACAAAGTTTATATTGTTCCTCTAATAGTCCACCTGGGGAATGAGGAATATTTCTCTTCTGTGTTTCCAAAAAAATAAAAATAAGATGGGAAATAAATGTTAAACATTTAGTTTAAGGACATATTTTCATCTTGTTTGAAGGCTTATTTTTTAATAACATTAATAAGAGGCATACATACTGGGAGAATAAATCCATCTGGGCTTATGTGTCAAAGGTAGGTGAGCTCAGCCGTGCATTTCTTCGTCTACACTGTATTGATCCAAGCACACTTTGTATCTGACATACACAAATACCTCTGTGACAGTCTTTGCTCTCACTTTGCCAGTTAGTTGCTCTGTAAGCAATTAATAATTTGCGTAACTTAGCTATACAGTATTTCAGTACTTCAATATCCCTTTGCTAGCCTTTGCAGATTAATTTTCACAGTGGAAAACACGTATGGAAAAAAGTACCTGTGAAAGCTTTCCTATGTTAATACATTGCGAATGCAAATCTCAGAAGAGTATGAGATCTCATATGAAGGTGTTACTATCTGTACTCACTTCTCTATTGCAGATGCATATACAACTTGCAAATGAGGATAAGGGCCTTACTGTACTAAGCTCTACACAGCCCCAGACTTTGCACAGGAGAGGCCTTCCTGGGGTCCCAGACACTCACTAGTAACTTTCAGTGACTCAGGCTGGGCAAACACCATCCACTCAGCTTCCCACCTCCTGTCCTTCTGAATGTGAAAAAAGTTAGGTGTGCAATGGCCAACTGGAGCTAAATGAAATAAAACAAGGCAGATTTTAGGCAAGATTGAACCAAGATGGAATAAATATAGCTTGCCTAGCTGTTGAATTTAGAAGAATTATCAATGTTTTGGTTCATGTCTTGCTGAGTAAAGAGCACAGAAGTGATTTAAACAAAGTAGAGGAGAGTCTGACCAGAGTTTCCTATGAATAAGTGCTTGAAGAAGACAGCAGATGATAGCTGCTGAGGCTGGCGAGACGTAGCAAAGGCAGACATCAGACACAGGACAACCTAGCAGAGGCTCAGTACTGCAGCAAGGCAGCTGTGTCCACTGCAGGGGTCAGTATGAAAATAAAGTGGGAGAAGACTGACAAACTAGAAAGAAGATCCTAGAGATAGGGTTTAGAGATTATGGTAGTCAAGGCTGTAACTTTCTGTACCAATTATCACCCTGAATGAGATGACATAGACTTACCTCAGTGACCTAACCAGTTATAATTTACACATACGGTTGGTAAAACAAGTAAGATGCATCTAGACATGGCTTTTAATCACAGGTACTACTGTGATTTAAAACAATATAGGAGAAGGCTGAGGCAGTGAATAAATTTTTGCCTTGGTCTTCACTGGCAACTACTCTTTGCACAATACTTTTCACACCCCTCAAGCTTAGGGGTTGGAAGATGGGGACTAGGGAAGTAATGTCCCTCCCAGTCTAAATGAAGATTACATTCACAGCTACCTGATTAACCTGAACACCCATAAGTCTATGGGTTCCAGTGAGATGCATTCCAAAGTCCAGACAAAATTAGCTGATGTAGTCGCCAAGACACTGATTATATCTGAAAAGTCATGGCATTCAGGTGTAGTCACCGGTGACTGGAAGAAAGGTAATTTCATACTTATTTTTATGAAGGGTAGAAAGGGAAGATCATGGGACAGACCCTCCTGGAAACTATGCTGAGGCACACTGACGACAGGAAGGGGTTATGAGAGCCAGCATGATTTCACAAAGAGCGTGTCATACCTGATCCACTCTGTGGCCTTCTATGATGTTGATGGCATAATTGAATCGATAGAAAAGGAAGAGACAGTGGTGCCATCAATCTCAACTTCAGCAAGGCCTCTGACGTGGTCCACCATAACCTCCTTCTCTCCAAATGGGAAAGATATGGATTTTATGGTTCAATGGATGAGGAAATTGTTGTGAGATCATACCCAGGGAGTGGTGGTCAATGGCTCAATGTCTGGGTGGAGATGAGTGAAAAATGGTGTCCCTCAAGGGTCAGTATTGGAACTGATGCTCTTTAGTAACTACATTAATTAACAGTGCACCCTCAGAAAGTTTGTGGATGATATCAAGCTGTGTGCTGCAGTTGATGTGCCCATGGGACAGGATGCCATTCAGAGTGACCTAGACTGGCTCCAGCAGTGGGCTCAGGTGCATCTCATGAGGTTTAACAAATCCAAGCGCAAGGTCTTGCGGCAACCCCTGCTATCACAAATGACATGGGGGTAATGGTGGATGGCAAGCTGGGCATGTCAGCAATATGCCATCACAGCCCAGAAAGCCAACTGTATCCTGGACTGCACCTATACAAGCGTGACCAGCAGCTCGAGGGAAATGATCTTGCCCCCCTACTCTGCAGTGGTGATGTCTCATCTGAAGTACTGCGTCCAGATGTGGAGTCCTCAGTACAGGAGACATATGTGTCCAGATGAGGACCACAAATATGACCCAATGGATGACACTCCTCTCCTACAAGGACAGGCTGAGAGAGCTGGGGCTGTTCTGCTTGGAGAAGCAAAGGCTCCACGGAGACCTGATAATGGCCTTTCAATATCTAAAATGGGACTATAAAGTGGAAGGGGACAGCCTCTTTTGCAGGGTCTCTGGTGATAGGAGAAGGGAAAGTGCTTTCAAACTAAAAGAGGGGAGATTTAGATTGGATACTAGAACAAAGTCTTTTATAATAAGGTTGGTGAAGCACTGGAATAGACCAGGAGTAATTGCCTAAAACTTGGACACAGGAAATTCTGTACTAACACGCGGAAGAACTTCTTTACAGTAAGGGTATCAGAGCACTGGATCAGGCTGTCCATAGAGGTTGTGGAGTCTCCCTCTATGGAGATATTCAAGACGGTTGGATGCCTACCTGTGCAACCTATTAAAAGGCACCTGCTTTATCAGAGGGGTTGGACTCGATCTCTTGAGGTCTATTCCAACCCCTGCATTTCTGTGATTCTGTGAGTCTATGGTGGGTGGCCTGTCCCTGAAGACATTAAAGGTTAGTCTGGACAGAGCTCTGAGCAGCCAGATCTAGCTGTAGGCATCCTTGTTCACTGCAGGAGAGTTCAACTAGATGACCTTTAAAGGTCCCTTCCAACTCAAATTATTCAATGATTCTATGACCAGAAGGAGTTGCACTAAAATTACTAAGCGCAGACTAAGGAGCAACAGCATAGATGACATCATTCAAATAAATTAGAAGCAGAAAAAACAGCTCCTAGAGCAAGAACATCCTTGTTCTACTAATGGACAGTTAACTTTTATGCAAAATAATTAAACCTGAGAAACAAATGATTCCACTTTTAACAATTTCACTACTATCATTAAGTGAAAATTAGCAAGACTATTACAGTAGGGACCTCAAGAGAAGGACACAATTTTATTCCACACAAATAATTAGTTTCTGGCTAATTATTTTCTGAACACAATTAAAAAGCTTCTCTAAAATATCCTCTCCTTTAGTTTTGTAGACTTGCCATAGCAGGTGTCACACACACTGAAGTGCAAACCACATAGAAAAGGGTCTGGAAAGTTCACTCATGAATCTTAGAATCAAATACAACTTCAGAGGCTCGATACTGTCAACACATGCGAATTTCCTCTTTGGAAAACTGTATTAAATGTAAATTAAAAATACAATTTGCAATATGAAAGCAGATGATTAGACTCAGCCCTCAAGTTCTGCTTGGTTTCAGCATTGCATATGTTTTTTGTTGTTTAAATAATCTAACTTCCACGGCTTGTTGTTCTGGAGAGAAACTGCAGTCTATGTATTGTCCTACTTCAGAAGTCTCCCATTACAAACCTGAAATTTCATCCATTCATTCTATGGACTCTGGGACATGAAGTGAAATGACTTTCACCTTAGCATGGGGAACAGGGAAGAAGAGCTCTGCATGCAACAAAGATGGAAACAACAGAAGTTCACTTTTACTGTCCACAGTGATTGTTTTCTTCTGCTCTCCCATAATAAGGACCTATGTGATACCATCTACATATCAATGCTGAGAAACTAGAGCACAGAGATAACAAAGATGAAAGCATTGAGGATTGCCTAGCTATTTCAGTGCAAGTGGAACTCTTTGACATCTACTGAAAATTCATTCTCTTCATGCTTGACTCTCCTGGATATTCTGCCTGAAGAGACTTTAAGGTTGTGAAAACCTTTAGAAATCTGGCCTCAAATGGCTTCATCTTGAAAGGCATATACAGGTTAGATAATTCATGCTATGTCTTTAGCTCAAGTCAATTGCATTCAAAATTATGTCGCATGTCCCATGTATCATAAATGTAAGCTGCACTGAAAAAGCCTTGAAATTTTCACGTAACTTTGATATCACAAAAAGAAGCTTTCCTACTTCAATTAACTATAAAATGATTGAAAGGAAACTAACTTCCAAACTTCCCCCATTCTCAGTTAGATACTAAACCATCATATTTTTGAAGACAATAAATGAAGAACAGAATTAATGAATTATCAGAAATAAATTGCATAGGTGACAACACAACAACTATCCCTGCAGCAAGAGGTAATACAGTAAAATATGTAGTGCAAATCAAATAGAAGACATGGTGTGTTGTAGTTCTCAGACAGATAAACCAATTTTGCTTGTATACAGAACTAAATGGAATAGAATGTCTTTTCCAGAAAGAACTGAGCAAACAATGTAAAAAAAAAAATAAATCAGTGAACCTGCCAGTCAACATTTTTTGGGTTGATTGGCCCAATTCTGTGACCAGCAGGGTGAAGGGACCCACAGATCCACATCCCGGAAAGGGGTAGGGGAAAAGGATAGAGAGATGGGCCCAAAACAAAACAGCGGCAATGATCTGAGAAGAAACAAACTAATTTACTAAATAAGATATCAGAATGCAAGATAACACACTATAATACAATATAATTAGAATTGGAACTAATAAATCAAATATAATGAGAGAGAGTGTCTGAAAGTCGAAGGTCTTACTCTAATGCTGAGGTGAGACGTGCAGCCGGGACGAGCAGCAGGGAGGAGAGCCTGATGATTGAAAAGAGAGAAAAGGGAAAATCAGGTGACCTTGCCAGGGGTTATCTCCTCTCTAAATGCAAAATCCTCTGGGGTATGTAGTTCTTCTTTTCTTCTGGGACAGGTACCCAGAACTGGAGCATTAACTGTTTAACTCCCAGTGCACGACATGATGTTATGATGTGGAATACCAATAACCAAAAATCATAAAACCATGACACTACCATAGAATATTTAATCCAACTAGTACTGTAGGTGGTGCTTTTTGTGTTTCCTTCCCAAATAACTGGACTATTAATGGAAACACACAGTCA